GGGTCTGTGAATGCTGAGAACAAAGCCAGGTGGGCCTGGGGGCTCAGCGGTCCATAAACACCACTCTCTCCAGCTGTCTGTCCTCCTTGGGACCCCCATGGGCAGAGGGGCCATGAGCAAAGGCCTGGGATGGGAACTAGAAGGGAGAGAATTGGGGTCCCCTATGCTCCCAGATCAGCTGTTCCCACCCTCCCCTTGTGCAGCAGCTGTGATGACTCCTCACTCTGCTCTCAGACTGTACAGCACAGCTGGTGGGTGGGGAGGGTCGTGCGTGAGGAGAAAGTTTCTAATAGTTCCAGAGCCACAGTGTGCTGCTTTAGGTAAGCAGTGAGCTTCCCGTCCTTAGAGGCATTCAAGATGCCAAGCAGGAAAACTGCACTGTGTATCTGACCCTCATGAATGGCTAAATGAGGTGGCCTCCAGTATCCTTCCCAGCCTGAGTTTCTTTGGTGCAGGGTCTGTAGGCATCAAGACGCAGCATAGTAGTTAAAAGCACATGTTTTTCATCAGGTCAGGGTTCTGATCCCAGGTGTGCCCTCGTCAGCTATGGTCTTGGCCCAGTCACTTTCTCCCTGAGCCTCAGTCTCCTCGTCTGTAGTATGGGGATATTTATGCCGGCTTCATGGGGTTCCTGTGAGGATCTGATACGAAACACTTGGCACAGTGCCTGGCACATAGTAAGTGCCCAGCCAAGAGCAGCCACTAATGATAATATTGTTATGAAATGAGGGCAAGCCCTGCACGCTGTAGGAGCCGGCCACTGCTCTCACCCCCGTATCTCCGGGTTATCAGAACCGGGGGAGGAGGAGCCATCAGCCGGATGGGACCTGCAGCCCAAAGGGGCAAAGTCTGCCTGGGTGGTGGCCGCTGCTCCACGTGCAAGGGCGGATGGGAGGGGATTTCGTCACCAGCATCCGGGGCGGCAGCTGCTGAGCCCTCCCCGTCGAGAGCTATTCAGGGGGAGGCTCAGAGGGGTGGTGGTTAGGCATGTGGGCACAGCACCAGGTGCAGCCGCCTCCCTCCAGTGCTGGAGAAAAGTGCTCAGCTCCCAGCCCAGGAGCTTTGTTGTCAGTCCTGCCAGATGGAACTGGCCCTCCCAGGCAGGGCCCAAGCCTCTCCTCTCAGCCCAGTCTCCCCCAGCCCTGCAGGCTTGAGAATCTGGGGCCCTCCATGGGACCGCCTTCCCAAGAAGAAAGCAGGCAGGCAGGGAGGAAAGCTTACAACTTTGGGAATCTTGCTTTTCTCCAGCTGTGTGACCCTGGGCTGCTTGCTACCCACTCTGGGCCCCAAGTTCCCTACATGACATGAAGGGGGTAGACCAGGCATCCCGGCGGATCTTGGGTACGGGCTCTTTTCCTGGATCCTCTGAGCCACCTGCAGCCTCAGCTGCGGCTCAGGGAGCGGGCTGAGGGAAGAGAGGTTCTCCCCAGTCAGGGATAGATGCCTGTTTCCAAGCATCTTAGAACACCATTCTCTCCTGGGTTGCCAGTCGTCCTCCTGCTGGTGGCACAGAGGCAGTCTCCCCCTTTGTCACTTCCCTCCCTGTCAGAGGAAGAACAAGAGAGTAATCCAGGACCGAGGCTTCTCTCTCTCTCTGCCCAGCGAGAGAGCAAAAGATTCTGTCCGGCTGTCTCTTCACCTCCCCAAGTGGCGGGGTCCTTGAATCAGGCCTAATGGGGGTGGGGGAGGGAAGTAGTGGGACCTTCAGAGAAGATGCTGGAGGGACCTCTGGGTCATCGTGTCCACCCGCTGCCTCCAGGCCAGTCTACAACAAGCATTTCCTCCCCGCCATGCACCATCAGGACTGGTGCCTGAGGGAGAAATTGTATTTTTTACCATTATTATTCTCACTATCAACACCATTTTTATATTATATGTGCAAAGTACTTAACTAGTATCTGGCACATAAAAAGTTCTCAACAGCCCCTATTCTAAAGAAATTGCAGGGTTTAAGCACATACTAGGTACTAGGCATTTTACATCCACAATCTCCTTTATCTCAAATCCTAGAGGTAGATGTTACCGATAATAATAATTTAGCAGTAGTAGTACTGTAGTTAGCGTGTAATGATTAAGTACTTATTGTGGGCCAGCCTCTGTGCTAAGAACCTGGGTGGATCATCTCTTAACTCTTGCCGCAAGCCTGGGATGGGTCTGATCTCCATGATGTCAATGGTTCATAGGGTCATGTGACTTGAGCAGCGTCACCTAGCCAGCAGGTGGCAGAGCTGGGGTTAGTCTCAGCAGAGCTGCTGTGAGCACAAACCTCCAGGGTTTACCCAGGAACCTGGCTGATCCAATGACCCAGAGCCCACCCACGTCACAGCCCAGGGCACATGGTAGATGTCCACTCCCCCGGGGGCCTTGTGGGAACAACCCCCTCCAGTGTGGCCAGCCCCTGCATTGTCCCCCTGGGGGCAGGAGCCCGGAAGCAGTCATTGATTGATGCTTGATTGACACAGGCAGCGGTTCACGCCGCGGTTTGAGCTGCAGCCCAGCCAGGCCTGGGAGCTGCCAGAGACCGAGATCCAGAGCCCAAGTTTCTGTCCAAGTTTGGACACTTTATCTGCACTTCCTCTGAAACTGAGCCACCGCGGGCTGCAGGAGTAACCCTTGAGCAGTAAATAAAGCTGAGGTTCAAGGGAGACAGGTGGGGCGGTAGAGAGAGTAGAGTGTGGGCATCACAGGGAGGGGCGTCTGAACCCTTGGCCAGTGCCCAAACCTCTCCAGCCCCTGTCCCCTAATCAGTCACATGGGGACATAACTCTGACCCCCCAGGATTGCTGAGCGCAGAGAAAAATGCCTGGCACATAGTAGGAGCTTCATAAAAGTAACAAAGTCTCGTGATAGCGCTGGTAGCTGCAGTTTCTGGAGCCAGCGCTGTGTGAAGTGCTTGTCACGTGTGAACGTACCCAGTCCTCGCAGTGACCTTACGGAAGAGTCACCATCATACCGGGGGTTCTCTGCCTTGTCTCCTGGAGCCCAAGCAGTCTGCTCCAGCCCTGACATGTCATCACTGGAGCCCGAGTTCAGAAAGAGGCGGGGGCTTTGTCTTCCACAGGGACGCTGAGGAGGGGCATCCACGTGACTTGCCCCGGGAAAGACTGACTCCCTCACCTGGCCACGCTCCAGGGCTGCTCCAGTACCGGTCACTAAGGCTCATGCAGCAGCCACCCAGCCCCTTACCACTGGCAAACAGGCTCCAAAGATGGAAGGGGGGCGGGGCTCCACCGTGTCCCCCACAGGGCCCCTCCAGCTCTAAGCGGAGCCTGGACCACGGGATCGTTGGCCTCCCTGACCCTCCCGAGTCCCACAACCCTCCACCACATCCTCTCGCATCTGCTTCCGCCTCGGCTGTGGCCACTGCTCTCACCCCGGACCCTTTCACCCCGTGGTGGGGAAAAAGGCCTCAGGACCCCGTGTTCCCTGCAGGGTTCCCAGAGACCTATCTTCTGGTGCTGCATCACTTCCAACCACTGACTCACTTGCTCGTGAACTATTTTTACCCCTTGCACAAATGCTCTGCTCAGCGCTCCAGGCAGATGTCTCTGTCCTGCTGGCAACCCCAGGACATGAGTGGTAGGGGGTGGGGGGGTGGGGCCCAGCAAATGTGCAGGTTTATGAGCCCTACTGACGTGGGGTAGAAGCCCAGCCCCTTCCTTCACTGCTGTGTGACCTTGGGCAGGCCACTTAACCTCTCTGAGCTTCCATTATAAAAGAAGGTTATTATGAAGATTAAGTAAAATAAAGTATGGAAATTTCCCAGCACAAAGATAGATTTCAAAAAGTGGTTGCTGTCAGATGTCCACAGTCATGTGAAGCTTATGTGTAATTAGAGATGGGTGAAGGGAATTGGGAAGCCCTGTAGAGGCCACAGGAATGAGATGTGTGTTTGTGTAGGAACTCCAAGTCTCCAGGAAGTTTCTGGAACTCAGCCCCTGTATGTCATATTGCTGTCACCAGCGCTGCCACCCAGCCATCTTGAGGCCTCAGGGACCGCACAAGCTTCTTTAGGCTCAGAAGGCCCATGTGACCAGCGCTGAGATGACTCTCCCCAGCCCACCAGGAGACAGGCAGGGCGGTTGCTTGGTTTGCCTTCTGATAAGAGGCCTGGCTGGGCGGCGGGAGCAGCACCCACATCTGCCATGCTGTGTGCTCCCGGCACAGGCAGCACCTCCCCAGCCAGGGCACGGGCCTGGAGCCCAGCTCTGACCCAAGCTCTTACCACAAGGAAGCCAGTCGAGCGAGACGTTTAGACTCTGCCCCTCACCCTGTCCCTCTCTCTGCCAGGCTGTTGTGGTAGAAAAAAGAGACCTGAAATGTGCAGGACAGAGGCACGGTCATCACGTAATCACTGTTCCAGGCCTTTCCAGCCACCCAGCTGGATCCCTGCCGCTCACTGCAGGCACCCTGCACAACTTGTTCCCAGAACACACCCCAGGCCACCTTCCAGAAAACTAGCAGTGGCCCCTCCCTCCTGTGACCTCTGGCCCTACCCTGAGACATGTGGTACCTTCTGCTTCCTCCTGCGTGGGAACAGGGAGAGGGGGAGAGATGGAGCCAAGATGTCCCTCGAGTGCCTGTGGAGGTACCTGGAGATGCTCAGTGAGTTCTAACTTCAGGGCCTCCCGTCACAATCCTCACCCCCATGGTATTGTAAATTCTCCCTCCCTGCTTGTTCACATCTCATTCAGTAGAGAGGGGCTGTGGTTTCCACTGCCTTGTGTAGCAGGTAAATTTGGCCAAAAGTTAGCACTGTTCAACATGTAGGAGGCTGCCAGGTCACGTGGTGAGCTCCCCATCATCAGAGGTAACCAAGCAGTAGCTGGGCCTCGAATCGGGAGTCCACCTGGGCCGAGGTCCTCTCCAGCTGTGATAAGATGACGTGTTGGTGGGAGGCACCTTTTGAGCCCCCAGGCTCCTTGTACTCTGGCTTATGACCACTCTGGTCAGGTATGAGGTGGCAGGATGTCCTTAGGCCTCTCTCTTTGTGCTCACAGGTACGATGCCGGCCGGGATGGCTTCATTGACCTGATGGAGCTAAAGCTTATGATGGAGAAACTTGGAGCCCCCCAGACCCACCTGGGCCTGAAAAACATGATCAAGGAGGTGGATGAGGACTTTGACAGCAAGCTCAGCTTCCGAGAGGTGAGCCCCACTCCCCGTGGGGGGCAACACCGGCGGGTGGGGAGAAACTAACCCCTCTTTGTCATTGAGCGACTTTGTCCGTGAACGGCCACTGTTGAGTGGCTGATGGTTGGCTGAGTGAGGTGTCAGCGGATCCTAGAGCAGGTACCTGGGGAGATTCTGAGATGCCTAAGTGAGACAGAGGCACGTGCGTTCCTTCACGCAGTGAGCACTGCTGGAGTGACTTCTGTATACCTGACCCCGTGTGGGCTGTGGCAGTACAGAGAAAGGCCCTGTGCTCCGGGGGTCCTGGCGTGTAGAGGGGGAGATGCTCAGAGAGGAAATAACAGGATGCTGTGCTTCAGGAGAAGAGGGGACAGATGGGGGAGGGACATGCACTGCGGGTCCGAGAGGAGCCGGGCGCTGAGCTGGGTGACCTCACACTCCGAATCTCACTTAGGCCTCACTCTGAGACAGGAGCCACGAACGAGCGTGTTTGCTGGAGGAGGAAGCAGAGGCTCAAGGCCAGAGAGCAAGGGCACTGGTCCCCAGGCAGCATAGGGTTAAAGGCCAGAGGTGGCCTCTGGAGAGTCAAGGCTCAGGCCGGGCCTCGGAACTGGCAGGAAGCACGGAAGAGGCAGGGCGAGAGAAGGGGGAGGGGGGCGCCTGGGGGAGCCGAGTCCAGGGAGGAAGGTGCGAGCAGCACACGATGATGGGTTGGAGTCCGGACCCGGGTTCAAATCCTGCCTCCATCGCTTTCTGGTGCTGAGATTGGGGCAGGTTTTTTCTTGCCCCTGAGCCTTCCTTGCTCTGTAAAATGGGCAGAGCCATGTACCTTTAGGACTCAGTAAATGGAAGTTAGAGCGGATTGGTTTGGGGAACAGGGGAAACAAAGGTAAGAGGTAGGTTGAGGCTTTTAACGGGAGCTGAGCATGGGCAGAGCAGCCTGCAGTAGCCCCAGTCCTGGGGGTGGGGGGGGCAGGAGACAGGTCACCTAGCCTCCCATCGTACAGATGGGCAAACCAAGGCCCAGAGAGGGAGGGACGCGACAGCCTGTGCAGGACACAGAGCATGGAGGATGGAGAGCCCGGACCTCCAGCTCCCAGGCCTGTGAGTACCTCCTTTCCGGGGAGGCCTGCAACTGGCCCCGGGTGTGGACAGGCTCTGGCCCCTTTCCCTATCTCCCTGACAGCATCAGTGTTCTGTTCTCCCTGCTGCAGTTCCTCCTGATTTTCCGCAAGGCAGCGGCTGGGGAGCTGCAGGAAGACAGCGGGCTGCACGTGCTGGCCCGCCTCTCCGAGATCGATGTGTCCACCGAGGGCGTCAAGGGGGCCAAGAGCTTCTTTGAGGCTAAGGTAAGGAATATGGGAGGAGGTGTGGAACCCAGGCTGGGGTTGCCCTGACCCCCACGTGAGGACAGGTGTGGCCGGGGTACTCCAGGGCCCTGAGTTAGCTCAAGGGTCAGCACGTCCCCTTCCTGTCCCTGCTGAGACCGCAGACAGGAGGTGGGGAGCTGACACCCCTCCTGGGTTGGTCAGGGCCCACGGCGCTCCTGGCTTCTGTCCCCTCCCGTCCAGCCTGTGATCCTTTCCAGCTTCTCTTTCTCTCCCTGCCCCAGAGGTGGGTGAGGGAGGAGTGTGTACTCTTGAAGAGGTGACAGGGGCCCCTTTGAGCTGCCCCAGCCTTGTACCCGGAGCCACTACCCGCAAAGGACTGGGCCTTAAAGAGTGGGCCCGGGAGACAGGAAGCAGGCCCAGAAACACAGCACTGGCTCCCGGGGCCTCTGGGAGACACTAGCCCCGCCAGCCCCAGCCGGGAGGGAGTATGATGGGCCCCAGAGGCCACCGCGGTGCACAGTACCCTCCCCTTTCAGCACACGCTCAGATGCAGGGGACAAGTATGGTTCCTGGATCCTGCCCTCCCCGGGCCCCGGGGCCCCTGCCTGTTCTTGCTTCTCCCCCTCCCCATGTTAGCTAAGAACATTCCTTCTGAAGGCCTCCTCCCACCTCCCTCTGGGCTTCTAGGGTTGGTGGGATGTTTCCGGGTTCATCAGTGGGACCAGGTGTGCATCTGGGCTTCCCAGGACAGGGGACAGGATAAGAATAGCAGCTTCGGAAGCTCACATTTCTAGGACCCGTGCTCTGCAGCAGCTACTGAATATGTCTTCTCTCTTTCAATCCTCCCAACGTATCCATGAGGTCGGAGTTACTGAGCGCCAGGCTGTAAGTGGAAGCAGTGAGGCTCAGAGAGGTGACTGAAGTACCTGGCCCAGGACCAGGCTAGTGGGAGGCAGAGCTGTGTGTGCATAGGGGAGGGGGACAGCGGAACCAGAAGAGACCCCGGAGAGAGCCCCTCCGGCCCTGAGCCATTTCCCCCCCGACCCCACCCCAGGTCCAGGCCATGAACGTGTCCAGCCGCTTCGAGGAGGAGATCAAGGCAGAGCAGGAGGAGAGGAAGAAGCAGGCGGAGGAGATGAAGCAGCGGAAGGCCGCCTTCAAGGAGCTGCAGTCCACCTTCAAGTAGCGAGGCTGCGCCGCACCGCCTGGCCCCGGCCCCGGCGCCCAGTCCCGCGGGCGAGGGTGGCGAGGGCCGGCAGACCGCAGGCCAAGCCTGATCCTTGGCTCTGTCTGAAGGGACCATGCTAAAAAGCTACACGTGTCTGTGAACAAGCCGGCTGAGGGGTCTCCCAGAGCGGCCCGGCCCCTCCCCGCTCCCTGCCGCTGTCCCTGAGGCCCTGACACCAGCCGCCTCCCGGCCTGGCCCAGCCCTCCCTGGCCAGTCCTGCACCTCTCGCCTCCTGGCCGCCCACTGCCTGCTGCAGCCGCTCCTGCTTCTGGCTCTAGGGCGCTCCCTGCCGGTAGGCTGCCTGCACACACACTCCTCCCTGTGCCTCTCCCTTTCCACCTCCTCCTCTACCCCCGCAGAGACCACCTGCCCTTAACCCACAGGCTGCACTGCCCCTGGGGCCCTCGAGCGCCCCCCCCTGACTGGGGGAGCGACAGGTGGCAAGAATCGTGGCCGGCCCCATAGAGCTGATGGGTGGCACCCGGGCTCCCCATCACCAGTACCTGTTCCTCTGGCCCTGCCTCCTCTCTCTGCTGGAATCAAGGGGGGGGCTTCTATCTTGGCGAAGGGACCCAGGCCCCTGGCACCCCATGCTGGCAAGGAGACCCCAGCTCTCTGGGGCCCAGCCAGGCAGGGTGAGGGGGCAGCTGTGCCAATCTACCTCAAGGGCCCACACTCTGCCGGCCATGCCACGGATTGTGGGCAGGGAAGGCTCTGAGGGCAGAAACACCAGTCCCTGGTCCCCTCCACCCCCCCGCTTTCCCTGGCCCTGAACAGCCTGAGGGTCTCTGGAGAGAAGAGGGTGGGGAGGAGGGATTGGCCCCTTCATAGGGAAGGAAACCAGCACGTCTCCATTCTCCAGGAGGCGTCCAAGAAGTGCTTTAAGTGGTTTGCATGGACCAGGTTGTGGGGAGCAGGGGGCCTGGCTCGGCTCTTTCATGCCATCCTTCCCCAAGTGACGTTCACCGCCTTGTCACCAGCAACGGGACATGTCCTGTCACACCCACTCCCTGAGGGAGCATGGGGACCCCAGCCCTCCCCGTGCCCATCCCCAGATGGGCCGTGGCCAAGCCTGTGCCACCGGCCCGGCCCTACGCGGCTCCTGATGTGCTCGCTCACGTGTGTGCGTGTCTGTGTGTACGTGCGTCTGTGTCCATTGCTATGTCGTGAAGCTGTGCCCGTCCTCCAGTCCAAACAAACGCATGGCCACCGAGGCCACAGTTATGCAACTTCCAGTGTGTGTTGTGACAGCGTCACTGCTTTTTAAACTCGGTAACTCTTTATTTTAGTAAAATGCCCCAAGAGTCCACAAAACTCCTGTTGGACTTGCAGAGTTGGACTTGCAGAGGTTTTATTTTTTTGGCCTTAGAATCTGCAGGAATTAGGAGGTACTGACCCCAGTGCAGCAGCCTTGGCCCTGGATTGCGTTTGCCTTAGCGGATATGTTTATACAGATGAATATAAAAAGGTCTTTTTCTTTTGGCCTATTGCTTTTTTTTTCTCTCTCTTCCCTTCTCACCAAAAAAGAAAAAGGAAAAAAAAAAAAAAGGCTACTTCTTCATTCGATGGTACGATTATTTTTTTTAACTAAAATAAGATAAAATTCTATATTCTTATGTGTGTGTGGTTCTTGTTGGGGTGGGAGAGGGGAGGGGCTGGGAAAGGAGCGGACAGGATGAGGTCACCTGGGTGCTGGGGCAGCACTGGCTCAGGTGGCTCCCATGTCATTTCAGAAGCAGGGAGAAGAGGGACTCTTCCTAATGGGAGGTTGAGTTTGATGCTCACCTGCTGTCACCAGGGGCTAGTCTAAGCTCTTTATACGTAACAGCTCATTTCATCTGCACAGCCAGCCCAGGAGGGGGCTGGGGGTGCTGTGTTATTCCCAGATAAGAACAGAGACACTCAGAAAGTCTCCCAGAGGCACACAGGCAAGCGGGGCAGCTCCAGGCTGCTCGGTCCGCAGCTCGTGCCCCTACCCATCCAGCCGCCCTGCCTGGCAAGTTCATTCAGAGGAGGACGTGCACCAGGGGTGGCACCGAGGCCACGGGGATTCTGGATTGAGGCACCCTAGAGCCCCCCAAGACTCTGCCACACTCAGAGATGCACCCCAAGCCTCCCCCGCAGACGGGTGGTTGGATGAAAGGCAAAGAGCCAGGTGGTCCCTGTGTAGCTTTGGACAGATCAGGCTCCCGCTGGGTCTTAGTCACCCCACATGTTCAATGAGAGGGTCTCAAAGTCTTCCCAACCCTTCGGTTTCCTGGTAGCGTGTCCCCCGTCTGTCAAGTGCAACCTGAGTTGGGGGTGCAGGAGTTTGAGATTAGGCTGGGCATCGCTGCCCCCGGGTGGACATGGGTGGTATGACAGCAGCCAGGATGCCCTCCACCTCTGGCTTCCTTACAGTCCCTGCTTGGAGAAGGCTGCGTCCTTGAAGTGTATTTCCTGAGAAAGGCCACTCCCACATGCCACCTGTGGCCTGAGATGCCACTATCATTAACACCACATTTTGGGTTAAGCGTCGCCCTTCAATTGCCTTCCCAAGGGCAGAGCATCAGAACCCCTGACATGCTAGCAAAAGGGTCTCAGAACTGAGGGACAGAGGATACTGACAGGGAAGGGCTAAAATTCAAGCCCCAGAGCCCCCGCCCAGCTGGCCCGGTGGTGGATGTGGGCCTCCAGCCCTCAGAATGTGAGGGACACAGGCCAGCGGTCCCACGCCAGGCCCTCCACCATCAGATCCAGCTGAGAGGGGCCCCAGCCTCGGCCCGCACAAGACCTCCCACTCCCAGCCCAGGCAGAGGGCACGGGAGGAATAAGGAGGCCTGGAGTGATTCAGGGACCAGGAATGGGAAGGGGAGCCAGCTCCTCAAACCCTGCCCATGTCCCGCGCTCTCAGTAAGCCCCCCGCCAAGTCCCGGTCCCCATCACCAAACCCCAAACCCCTCACTCAGCCCCCAAACCCTCTCTCAACACCCAGTACTTTCATCTGACTTTGAGGAGAAACACTGCCAGCCCCCAGGCCTGCCTCCTTAGTGGGTCCCACCCAAGATGTAACACTTGCCCCCCGAAAGTCCTGTCCCAGCAACTAAAAATTATGGGCCCCGGTCAGTGGCACCTGCCCTGTTTCTCAGGCTCTCACCAACAGCCTCCCCGCTTGACTCCCAACCTTGGCATTGCTTCTCCTGGCATTCCCTTCCCCTGAGCCCAGCCTCTGCCAAGTCACCCATGGTTATTTTTCCAGCACAGTCTGGCCCTGAATGGCTGGGGGACATTAAGTGCCCAGATCCTGGGAGGCCCTGCTCCAGGCCCTGGAATACACGAGCTTCAGCGGGATAAGGATGGGGGTGTCTGGCATCGTCACAGTCTCAAGTCCTCATGTTCGTTTTGGACATGGAATCTGCAGAGAAGCCACCCTTTCCCACCTGCCCCCTATTAAGCTCCCACCCAGAACTCACGTCTTCTCGTTTGGGGCTCCCAGCTCTTGGCCCAGAACACTCCAAGGAACACTTATCACCCAGCGAGGCAGGGAGGTCCAGCAGTGCTGAACAGGGTCTTATCCTCTCTGTGGCCCCAGCCCTAGCACAGCGCCTACGCACCGGAGCTGCTCAGCGAGTCTGGGAAGAATGAAGGAATGAAGGGCTTCTGTGTACCTGGTAAGTCAGTGCCTCACAGTCTGGGCAGGTAAGAGTCACAGCTTTAAGTTAACCCAACACCAAGCCCCCTGCCCTCCAATTACAGCAATCCACTCCCCCAGGGCGCCCTTCTGCAGTTATTCCCAAGTCCCCCTGGGGCTGCTTCTTCAATCTTGGTGGCCAGAAAATCAGGTCAGCCAGCCGAGTGTCACCCCCATAACTTTAGGCATTTGGAGCCCCTGGAGGGATGGCGTCCTCTGGCCGATGGCTCCCTGCACCAGGGCCAGGTCAGGAGGGGCTGGCACTAGCCGTGCGCACGCCCAGAGGCAGCTCCCACCTCTGCCCCAGTTGCTCCCAGTGACAGCACAGTTTTCTCCCTGGCTGCCCTAAAGGCATCTCCAGGGTCCAGAACAGGCACTCATCGTGATCCAAAGAACATTCCCCAATGTCTCTCTCAGCCATTCAGTTGTGCAGAACCTGACATGCGGAGGGGCCACAGCCAGGGCCAAATCGTCCATCAGTACGGTGGGCGCAGTGCCTGGAGCCCACAATAACTTTAAGGCCCACAGAAATGTTTTAGTTTCTCTTAAAATTGGCAGGAAAAAAATGAATAGAATCCAAACTGGATTATACTAGTCTTTATACCCACGCAGTCATAAAACATAAAATTCTTAATATTTTTTGGTGGAGGAAGGGGCCCACAAAGGCAAAAGGGCCCGGTGACAGTCCAGATTCAAGCTCTCTCATGAGAACCAGACGACCAACAACAATAATAATAACAGCCAACATTTACATAGTGCTTGCCCTATGCCAGGCACTCCTCACAATAACCCTATGAGGCTGGTACCACTTTTTAATCTCCATTCTATAGATGAGGATGTGGAAGCACAGAGAGGTTGAGTCACTAACGCAAGGTCACACAGCTAGGAAGTACTGGCTCTAGGTTTTCCGTCCTTTGGGAATATGGTCCAACACTAGGCAAAGCACTCAACATCCCATCTTCAGCCTCTGAAACAGACTAAGGTGACGTCAGTTTTCTCCAAGCACAATTGCTGATGCTGTCTTACATAAAGGACCTCAACTGGTAAACGTCTCAAAACAATGAAGTTCCCCTAAAGCTGATGCTGTCTGCACCTTCCAGAGCAGCCAGCAACCTCCCTCTCCAAAAAGGTCAGTTTCTCTGTGAACATTCCAAAAGAAAAAAAATGAACGACTTTTTATCTGGTACCTTACTACCTATGTGCCTGTGCACTTGTGGCTATTTCTATATCAGAGTACATTTTGAACGTGTGGCTCGGGGCTCTGAGAATGACTGTGTTTATAACAGACTGCTTTCTATGTAGGACACTGGTGTGTGTGTGTCTGTCTGCCTGTCCCTGTATGCTTGTATATCCATGGGCTTGTACACGTGACTGAGATGGGCGCCTAGACCTTGCTGTCTCTCTGTGTGTGTAAATCAGCAAACTCCCATCCACAGGAGCCCAGCTAATCATTTTCCCAAGTTGTTCAAGAGAAACTGAGGCCGCAGAAGTTGCCC